TTTTTTAATTAAAAAAGATATTACAGTATAGAGTTCCCATATATCTTTCACCAGTTTTGGTTTTGCCCTGCTTTTGCCATTGCTCATTACTGTGGTAAGTTTATCAAAATTAAGAAACCCACATTGGTAGATTACTATGAACCCCAGACATTATTCAGATTTTATCAGGTTTTCATTAAAGCCCTTCTGTTCCAAGATTCGATCCAGGATACCACATTGCATTTAGTTGTCACATCTCTCCAGTCTCCTCTGGTCTATAACAGCTTATTATTCCTTTTTTTTTTTTTTTTTTAAAGACCTTGACAGTTTTGAGAATACTAGCCAGATACTTTGTGGAATGTCTCTGAATTTAGGTTTGTCTGATGTTTTCCTTATGATTAGACTGAGATTTTGAGTTTTTGGAAAGAATTCCACCAAAATTAGACCTTAATTTTAGAGTTGTTATTTAGCATCACCTGTTTTCTGATTATACAATATCTTCTCTGAAGTCCCAGGATTACCTTAGTCCCATTCTATGTAGCTATTGGAGACCTTCAGATTTAGTGAGAATTTCTTGATTTTGATACAGTTTAACTTAACTTTGTTTTTCAAATCAACTTAAAATCATTTATTTACTTGAACTGGCCTTATTAAAATCTTATCTTTTTCAGATGAATACTAATATTCTTATTTACTCAAATTCTTTTCCCACAACTTTTCTATCTCAAGCTGAAAACTGAGAGCTTTAAGATCTTTTATAGGATCAATTAAAATTTTTAAAATTAGCATTTGTTTGATTAAGGAATTGACTTACCAAACAGTCTTTCATTCTTTCTAATCATTTTTTGGTCCATTAATGCTCATATAGTTTATTTAAATTACTGAAATACCTGGAATTAAGGGATAAAGCAAGAAACTTCCAATTCTTCACTAGCTTTTCTAGAATCTTAAATTTCCTACCTCTCTAGAAGCTATCTAGTTAAGCTACCCACTAAATTAAGGAATCTTATGTATGACTAATTTTCATTTTAGCTTGTTATTCATTTCCTCTTAATGTCTTACTATTGGTACTCCTATTGGCCGCAAGCATTTGACTCAAATATTTTTGAGTATCTATATGACCATTTATGTCCAAAATCATACAGGCCAGTCTTTGAGGCACAGTTGGATCCAGGCCAAACACCAATAAGTAACAGAGGAATAGAACTGGTCAGGATTGGCAGTTCGGTAACTTTGAGGCCTGGCCTTATTACAAGCTACAGTCATTCAAATAACCATTTGTATTAGTTTGGGTTCCCCAGAAAAACAGAACCAACAGGATATATATAAAGAAATTTACTATAAGGAATTATTTGCTTAGGCGATTGTGGAGGTTGAGAAGTTCAAGATTTTCAGTCAGCAAGCTAGATACCCAGGAGAACCAGTGGTGTAGTTCCAGTCTGAGTCTGAAGGCCTGAGAACCAGGAGAACCAATGATGTAAGTTCTAGTCCAAGTCCAAGTCTAAAAGCAAGAGAAGACCAATTTCCTAGTTTAAAGACAATTAGAAGGAATTCTCTCTTACTCTACCTTTTATTCTATTCAGACTTCGAAATGGGTTGGATGAAGAGCCCCACTCACATTGTGGAGGGCAGTCTGTTTTTGCTCACAGACACACCCAGAAGTAATGACTAATCAAATATCTGGACCTGGTGGCCTAGTCAAGTTTTCACATAAAATTAACAGGCCATTACTAGGACTTCTAGCTAAATTAGGCTACTTTTGGCTAGTTTTGATTTCCAGGGACAGGTGTGGATATGGACAGGGCCTAGCAGCCTAGGCTTCATTGATACTTATAGTTGGTAGGATAATATTGTAGAGATTTTTATTGATTGGACCCCAACTGATACCTGGTGCAGAGGTGAGGGGCCCAATTCTGAGAGCTGAATTAGGCATGGGTATGGGGGTTGGGATACAGGCTTTAGCCAAATGGGCCAGAGGCATTGATAAAATACATTCAAAACACCAAAGAAGAAGACGTGTCATAAAGACTTGGAACATAGGAAGGATGAAGGAA